TTTTTGCATATTTTTACGTTTTGAAGGTTTCTGAATATTTTGGCATATCTTATAAAAAATGAATGTATATGTGTGTGTGTGCGGATACAAATTTTCGTCAACGATTTCGGGCACATCAATCAGCCCATTTTAATAATTCATCAAACATTCGATTTGTATTGATAAGGAGACGTGCTGATTAGTTTTTGGCAATGGCAGGTCTGACCGTTTCAAAGATACGGGGCAAAAAGTGCCAAAAACGGTAACTCAGCTTTTAAGAGAACGGAGCGTCTGATTTTAATAATTATAAAAACATTTTACTTGTATTGACAAGATGAAGAACTGATTACATTTTTAGGAAGGCAGGTCCAGCGGTTATAGACTCTCAATAAAAATAAAATGTTATTTGGCGGTCAAAAATGTTTATTGGATATATGCACATCAAATTATCAGATATTTTATAGAGATTTTAATAATGTGTACACTATTTGTGTAAATTTTTTTAAGTTCCGTACCAAGATTTTAAATTACGGTACGGTAAGTACCAGCAATTCAGCTTAAGGCACGATGCCATGCACCCCACGTTAGCTACAAAATCTTAAAGAAACATATTGGATGAACAAAACCGTCCTTATTTCTACCAAAATCCTTCTTACCGCATTTCGTACGTGACTTAAAATAACGTATAACAGTGTGCTCAAACAATTTTCCCGAGTTTCGCCCGGTTGCTTCTTATTGTAAATATCTAAAGTATGCAACGAGGTACAAAAGTTTTGTTCTCAGCAAATAATAGTTTATGTTATCGTTTCTATTAAACTGTCTGAACTCTGAAGCGCTATAATTTGATATTTTCCCATATAATTTGAATAAAGTTTTCATATGCATGATATGTAATCCAACTTTATGTGAGCATGTATTTAAAATCATTTAATTCAATTAGAGATACAAAAATATTGAAGTTGTACAACTGCAAATGGTTGTTAAATGGATTTGTAGAAGCATCAATTTATAATATTTAGTTTTTGAATTTGATATAATAATGCAAACCTAGTAAAAACATGCATAGGAAAACTTTGTCTTACACTAGTTTTATTCATATATGATGTGAAATTTATATTATTATTATAAATTATATGCAGTAATGCTGCTACATTGTGCGAGCATATAATCAAAATGATTTAACACAAATAGAGATACACAAACAATGAACTTATACTGAAAATTGTTACTAATTGAATGAATATAAACATCAAATTATAGTAATTACAATGCACAATATAAGCAATATAAATTTTCCCTAGCATATTTCATTTACTAACTTCGCGTAAGGTAAGTTATTGTAATCGTCTAAAAATCGAAACTAAAGATTTTTAAATTTTTTCACGTTTTGAAGGTATCTGAACGTTTTGGCATGCCTCAAAAAAAATGTGTGTGTATGTGTGTGTATATGTATGTATGGATACATATTTTTATCCACGTTTTTGGGCGCACGGATCCACCGATTTGGATGGTTCAAAAAACATTAGATTTCTATTGATAGGGAGATGTGCTGAATAGTTTTTGGCAAAGGCAGGTCTAGCCGTTTCAGAGATAGCGCGCTAAATGTGCAAAAAATGGCACATGGAACTGAACTTCCGATTTCAGTGATTTATAAAACTTTCTGCTTGCGTTGACGAAACGATTGCTTTCGGAAAAGAGTTTTTTTGAATATAGAAAATAAATTGAATTTTAATTTCTTTCAATCTAAAGTTTTAAAGCTCACTTAAAACCTTCAATAAATAATTTTAACTTTGCAATTCAATTTATATAATTCGATTAAGTTTTGTATATATAGTTCTCTATAAACATATATAAGTTACAGTTTATCATTATTATCAATATAATAAAATTGAAAGCATTTAATATTCCGTATTTCATTACTATACGGGAAGTTATAGCAATTTGCCTCAAAGCACGATGCCATACACCACTATATTTTTTTTCATTACATATATAGATCATAATATAACACTTGGATTGAGAATGAATACACTTATTCTCAAGAATTAACTGCGCCTTGAAATATTTATAAAATACATTGAATTAGCAGCTATGAATATATATTGTAATCTGTTAAAAATAAAAATATCATTAAAATATTATATAATTAAAATGTGCAATGACAGTATTTTAATACTCTTTAATTATTTTGTTATTATCATTATTGCCAATGACCCCCTTGATACTATTATCTACAGACTAAAAGTGTGAGAACACCAAAATTATTATAACTGCATTCTAGTTATTCTGTTAATTCATTTTAAAATTGATATAAATCTGCTTTGTTTTGGGTTCACATTTGCACCATATACAGGGTATCCCAGACTTTCACGTCGAGCCGAAACGCGGTGATATTTATCTTTACTGATCTGAAAATAATTTGAAAAAAAAAAATCTCATGTTGTTTGAAAATTACGAAATTTTAAGTACAACCTAGAGCTTTGGTGATATTATGACTATTTTTCGGTTTTTGTAGTTAATTGTAACTAATTTTGTTGATTTCAACTTTAAAACCATAACCGTGTATAACATTTCTAAGATCACAAATAAAAACATTAACACATTTGCCTAAAGTTTCAAAGAATTAGGACTTTTTGTTGAACTATGAACTTAAATTTTTCAAAAATCGGTATGCTATAATATGCTGGCAAGTTTTATCAAATGTTTGCGCATTAATCAGGATTGTATAATATTAAAATACTTGATAATCTCATTAATGAAAAAATTGAGTACAAAAATAAAAACCTAAAATTGACATGAATTTTGCTAGTATTTTTGCTAGTTTTCCCTCTAACTTCTCTCAAAAGACACAAATATTATTAAAATAAAATATTCTTCATAACTTTGGACCTGTAGATTTGCCTATCTATTATATTTTCATACAGCCAAAACGTGTATTTGACTGGAAATTAAAAAATTCATATCTCTGCTCTGGCGTTGTTTAGTCTGCGCTAAAATCTGTCTATCATGCAGGTATTTTTAATCAAAAGTCTAATATTTGCGCATCCTATGAAAATCCTGTTTGTATCTCAATATTATACAAAAGGTCGATGGCAAAATGAATTTTATGACAAAAGAGGCGCCGGTGAAATTTTACGCAGAAAAATAGTATAGTTGAAATTATTCGATATAATTGTTTTCAGAATTAATATGGTATTAAAAATTGATTATTGATAAGAATATAATAAATATAATAAGAATAAGAATGTGTCAAATAAAATATAGATAAATTCATCAATGAATGATTTACAATATATTTATTAATAAAACTTGTACATTTATTAATCCGTTAAACTATTTAAAAATTTGCCACAACAAGTTATTTAGTCAAGAGCCAAAAATTACGACTATGAACTATGTGAAGCATTTTTTTTAAAAACACATGCTGAGTGCATCATTAACAGTTCTACCATAAAGTTGGTGAACATTATTTTTTTCTCTCTATACAAATTTATATTTTGCAACTAAATTATCCGATTTTAATTAAATTACAAATACAAATTTTGTAATAAAAAAGCTAAATACTTCAACGGTTGGAAATTACATTCTAAACAAAATAATATGATAAATTATAATAGTAATTAATTGTGCACTAATTAATCAATAATTAATTAATTATTAATTATTAAACTAATAATTTGGTGCAATATCACCACGTCTTTTCATTTCTGTTTTCTATATATGTATAGATCATTAAGAATTTTATACATATGTTTGCTCAAAACTCGGAAAAGTATCTTCGTAATCTACTCAAATTTTGTTAAAAACTTTATAATGATATAAATTTATGTAAAGTCCTTTAAGAGTATTAGCCTCTTAAATCAGTGATGAAAAACAAAATAATGATGCCAAATAATTCAAGTACAAGTAAACCAATTATAAACAAAATTGAAAATTTAATGCTTCTGACATTATATGTCCCATTATAAAAATGATGTGAGATTACATATATTGAAAAATATGTGTTTGCGCCGCACCTGTGTAGGTTGTCGGACCTGTAAAAGGTTTGTTTTTCTACTTGGACAACACGTTTCAAATTTAGGCAATCGGGCAATTCTGACTCATAAAAAGGCCGATGCAGGCAATAGTTTTACCATTCAAGTCTATTCTTTCCGCGCCTTTCATTCGTTCAGTTACTTTCAGTTCCTTACAGTGTTCGAGTTGATTTATTCCGTGGTTTTCATTCATTTTGGTTTAATTCATTCATTCAGTTACTTGCAATCAATACATTCAGTTCCTTTCAGTGTTTGTTATCAGTTCAATATTATCAGTGGATTAAATTTCTATTGTGTGTCAAGTTAACAGTTATTTTTATTTGTCAGTGTATTCGAATTTCTTTTCAACCTATCCAACCGACTACGCTGATGTTTCCAGATCCAACCAAATAGCTGCCGCGGCTTGGACTTCCAAAACAGATAACATTTTCATACAATATTAATTAGTGTTCATTTTTGTTTTTTCATTTATATAAAATTTATATAGAATATATTTTAGTTTATTATTGATTACGGAGTAAGAAGAATTTTATTTTTAATTTATATTTGTTTACCATTGGTTTTTGTTTTCTGAATACATTTAATTTTTTTATTTTTCCTCGAAGTATAAAATACTTCGAAAGGGGTTGAGAAACCCCCCAACATCAACATTTGGTCCTTCGAGCCGGATCCTAATTATTATTAGGATTAATTGGGTGTATACAGAAAACAAAAATATATATAATGGCGCCTAAAATCGATATTGGTGCAGAAATTGCACGTCTAACCGCCAAGAGAGAGATGTACTTTTCAATTGTGCAAGAAACGTACGATCTATCGCAACAGATTGATGTATCTTCAAATAAGACACAATTTCTTGAAAATTTATATATTACTGAAAATGCTCGTGAACAATTTATTCAATTGTGCGATGAAATAAACAAATTAAAATATTTAGATAATCCTAGTTTCATTCCGGAATATTCCGCAATAAAGGCCCTTGAAACGATGTATGCCAAAATAAAACACGCTGAGAAATTACTAGATAATAAAAATGCGCATAGTTCTTCAATTAAAGACATTGTACCCAAGCAACATTTACCGTCCATTGAAGTACCTAAATTCTCAGGTGATATTCAACAATGGCCATTATTCTATGAAACATTTAATTCACTAATTCATGAAAATACAGAGTTAGATAATGTATCAAAATTTCATTTTTTAAAAGGAGCGTTACAGGGTCCGGTTTTAAAAATATTTCATTCTATACTACCGACCGCAAATAATTATCAAATTCTTTGGGAAGCGCTCATAAAAAAATACCAAAATAAACGGTACTTAGCCACCAATTATTTCAAACAACTATTGTCATTCAAAACCATTTCATCTGGACAAATAAATTCATTCCTGGAAAAATTCGATACCGCGGTGCAAGCGCTCTCCCAATTGAATATTCCCGACGCCTATGATTTCCTTATTACGTCACTGGCATTCTCGAAACTCGATCCGTTGTTACAAGAAAAATTCGAGCATTTTTATCAAGGTGAGTTTCCCAAATACCAAGACCTCCTGCATTTTCTTCAAAAGTCACAACAGGCAAAAAATCAAGTATATGGTATGACCAACAATTTCACTAATGACAAACCCAATTACAAAAACACTAAAATTAGCCGGTCATTTTTGTTAAAAAATAAATATGATAACAAATGCTTTGTGTGTCGGGAACAACACAGAGTGTTTACTTGTTCGAAATTTCTTTCATTGAGTATACCTGATAGGCGATCCCTTATTCAAAAATTAAACTTTGCGACAATTGTTTGGGTCATAAGATAACGACTACGTGTCGATCGAATAAAACCTGTTTATTATGTAACGAACGACATCACTCGCTATTGCATACTGGTAGCAATTTTGCGAGTACGGATCAAAATAATCTTTCTAATTCCAAATCAAGTAGTACGGTTTTATGCGCATTTAATCAAAACAAAATCGCACATCATATTACCATATTGCCGACAGCAGTAGTAAAAGTTACTACTAGAAAAGAAAACATTTTATTACGTACAATTATTGATTCGGGAAGCGATAGAAATTTTGTGACATTAACTTGGTGCAAAAAGGCTGATTTACAAATTCTTCCAATATCAACCCAAGTGATCGGGTTAGGCAATTCGTCACATAAAGTTATTGGATTAGTTAATTTCACTTTGAAATCTTTAATCGATTCTTATCAGTTATCGGTCTGTGCATACGTAGTACACGAGATAGTGGGAAAGCAACCACAAATTACCATTCCGATTTCATCCATCAAAACATTTCTGAATTATCCTTTAGCGGATCCTAACTTTCATACACCCCAGGAGGTCGACGGAATTTTGGGTTGCGATGTTTTCGGCGAAATTCTTGGCACTCATCAGGTTAAAAATGATAAAGGATTACCTGTGGCCCTAGAAACCCGGTTGGGTTATCTAATATTAGGTTCCATTCCTGATTTATTTGAAAATACCGGCACTTCTACTAATTTATGTAATGTTTCAGATTTAGATTTTCATTTACAAATGAATAAATTCTTACAATTAGAAGACATTCCCGAAATAATCCTCTCTTCTAACGATGATTTATGCGAAAACCATTTTACTACAACTACTACGCGATCTCCAGATGGACGATATGTAGTAGCGCTGCCTTTTAAAAGTGAAGGCAGAAATTTATACAAATCATTTCATTTAGCCTTAAAGCGATACCACATGCTTGAAAATAAATTTTTGAAAAATCCCGAATTTCATAAAAAATATGCCGCCGTCATAGAAGATTACCTGACTCAAAACCAATTATCCTTTGTCGATTATTGTCCGGTAGATCATGAAGTCGATGATTTTATTAAAATAAAAAATGGATATTATATTCCACATTTCGCAGTCGAAAAAGAAAGTTCCTCCACGCCTTTACGCGTTGTGTTTGATGCATCTGCGAAAAATTCAGAATTCACTTCCTTGAACGAAATTTTGCATGTTGGTCCTAAATTACAAACCGACATTTGTTCAATCCTTCTAAATTTTCGTTTCGGGCCTATAGCATTAACAGCTGATATCAAACAAATGTATCGTAATATTTGGGTTCGTAAACAAGATAGAAAATATCAAAAAATCTTATGGAGACCGTTTCCCGATGCACCCATTGGCATCTATGAATTAAATACCGTAACTTTTGGTCTATCATCATCTCCCTTTCAAGCTATCAGAACCATCAAACAACTATCCCGAGACGAATGTTCCAAATATTCTCAATCTATTTCTAGAATTCTTGAGAACGATGTCTATATTGATGATGTGGTTACAAGTATCGACTCCTTGGATAGCGCTAAAACCATTTGCGAGGGTTTGCAGACTGTATTATCGTCTGGTGGTTTTGAATTAAAAAAGTGGGAATCTAATAATTCTAATCTGCGTAAACTTTTTTCTGATTCTGATGTACAAAATAAACATTTCTCTAAATCGGATTTTCAAATGGAATCTTCTACAAAGGTATTGGGATTAAAATGGGATCCCTTATCAGATAATTTTTCATTCGAAATAAAGCTTACGTGGAGAAAATGGACAAAGAGACAACTTCTTTCAGTAATAGCGCGAATCTGGGATCCTCTGGGTTTCCTAACTCCGATAGTTGTTAAGATAAAAATATTATTGAAAAAAATTTGGACATTAAAAATCGATTGGGATGAGGAATTACCATCATTTATTATTACATCATGGTTAGTCGTATATTCCGAATTAGAGCATCTTAATAACTATCAGATTCCGCGTTATCTCGAAACATCAAAACAAAACAAATGTTCATTATTTGGTTTCGCGGATAGTTCAGAGCAAGCGTATGGAGCGGTAGTTTATATTAAATCTCTTGGCAATCCGAATTTCTTGTTGATTTCAAAATCGCGTGTAACACCGATTAAAAACCAAACATTAGCCAGGCTTGAACTTTGTGCCTGTCATTTACTGTCAAAACTTCTGAATTTTATATTAACGAATAACCAACATAGTATAGATTTTGATTCTATTTACTGTTTTTCCGATTCTATGATTGTCCTTCACTGGTTAGCAGGACCGGCTACTCGTTGGAAAACATTTGTAGCCAATAGGGTAACAAAAATACGGGATCTCATTCCTAATGCACAATGGCTTCACATTCCTTCTAATCAAAATGCAGCCGATTGTGTTTCTCGAGGTCTTCGACCTAAGGATTTTATCCAACATAAGAATTGGTTGTTTGGGCCGGATTGGTTGAATGGTCCTATATCAACTTGGCCTGCAAAAACGGTTGAACCTTCCGGAGATATTGATCAAGAAAGAAAAGCTAACGCTCTAATAGTAAAGAGTGTCATACCACCGATCAATCCTTTATATGAATTAACGCAAAAATTTTCTAATTGGTGCAAACTTGTAAGAATTTTCGCTTATATATTGAAGTTTTGTAAAATTATAACAAATCGAAACCGACTTTTGACTTCAGATTTGAAACAAGCCGAGGTTATTATTATTCGTTTAGTCCAAGAACATCATTTTCCCGAAGAATTCAAACTATTAACGAACGGAAAGTCTTGTTCGAAGAAGTTTTGCCGACTAAATGTGGTTTTGGATTCTAATAATTGTTTACGCGTTAAAGGTAGATTAGGATTAACAACTAATAACAATCCACTTCTTTTGCCAAAAAAAGACCAAGTAGTAAATTGTCTCATAGATTACTACCATATTAATAATTTACATACTGGATCAAACTTAGTATTATCTTTATTGAGGCAAAAATATTGGATCTTGTCGGCTCGTGCAATAATTCGCAATCGTCTTAACAAGTGTATAACTTGTTTTCGACAGAATCCGAAACCCATTTTTCCATTCATGGGCGACTTACCAGTACCGCGCATAACAGCCAGTAGAGCTTTCCTAAACGTCGGCGTTGATTATGCAGGCCCCTTCAATATCTCCATGAGTCGTCACAGAGGCGCTCGAACCTACAAGGCTTATATATGCTTGTTCATCTGTTTAGCCACTAAGGCGATACATCTCGAATTAGCTTCAGATTTAACAAGCGATACATTTTTAGATTGCTTGAAACGATTCCTAGCCCGGCGTGGTCCTATTAAATGTATTTACTCCGATTGTGGAACCAATTTTATAGGAGCCAAAAATACTCTTGATTCCTTATTCCTTCTCCTAAATTCCGAAGAGTATAAAAAGCGTTTCAATGAATTATTGGTTTTACATGACATTGAATGGAAATTTAATCCACCGTTTGCCCCACATTTTGGAGGTATATGGGAGGCGAATATTAAATCAGTGAAGACCCATTTGTTTAAAGTTATAGGGTTGCAAATTTTATCCTACGAAGAGTTTAATACAGTCCTCAATCAAATCGAAGCCTTACTGAATTCAAGACCGTTATGTTGGCTGAGCAATGATCCATCGGACCCTCAACCTCTTACGCCTGCGCACTTTTAATGCAAGAGCCTCTGTCGGATTTGCCCGTTGACTATGAAAACTTGAATTTGACTAAAAGAAAACAATTGCTAGATCATATTGTCGCTTCTTACTGGAAGCGATGGAATGTGGAATATCTGACCGAGCTACAGGTCCGACAGAAATGGAATACAGTCACTAATCCTATTAAAAAGGGTGATTTGGTAGTTGTAAAACAAGAGAATGCGCGTCCGCTCCATTGGGGGTTGGGAAGAGTTGAAGAGGTTTTTCCGGGCTCCGATGGAGTGGTTCGAGTAGCATTGGTAAAAACGGGAAATACCCTAATCAAGCGGCCTGTTGTCAAACTATGCCCCCTACCTATTCAATAGTTTATATCTGAATTATTCATTTCAAAAAAAAAAAAAACTTTTCTATCTCATGATATATTTGCTTCTATATATAGTTTTGCCAAATTTTCAATCTCCAGGGCGATGAGAACACCCCTCATAGTCTCTGGAAGATTCTTGTAAATGTCCAAAAATCTAGACCCTGGCGCGAAAATAAAACTTCCGCAATCTAGATTGTGTGAATGTGGTAGGTTGTGAGAGCGGGACCCTGGCGCGAGGTCAGGCTTCCGTAACCGATCTACTCTGAATGAAAGTTTGAATTTATTTTGGCAATTCTATCCTTCCTAATCATGAGGTTGTTCACTATGTACCAATTTCGAGTATTTTCAGAAGTATAAAAGGCTAACCTTTTAGTCGGGGGAAAATGTTTGCGCCGCACCTGTGTAGGTTGTCGGACCTGTAAAAGGTTTGTTTTTCTACTTGGACAACACGTTTCAAATTTAGGCAATCGGGCAATTCTGACTCATAAAAAGGCCGATGCAGGCAATAGTTTTACCATTCAAGTCTATTCTTTCCGCGCCTTTCATTCGTTCAGTTACTTTCAGTTCCTTACAGTGTTCGAGTTGATTTATTCCGTGGTTTTCATTCATTTTGGTTTAATTCATTCATTCAGTTACTTGCAATCAATACATTCAGTTCCTTTCAGTGTTTGTTATCAGTTCAATATTATCAGTGGATTAAATTTCTATTGTGTGTCAAGTTAACAGTTATTTTTATTTGTCAGTGTATTCGAATTTCTTTTCAACCTATCCAACCGACTACGCTGATGTTTCCAGATCCAACCAAATAGCTGCCGCGGCTTGGACTTCCAAAACAGATAACATTTTCATACAATATTAATTAGTGTTCATTTTTGTTTTTTCATTTATATAAAATTTATATAGAATATATTTTAGTTTATTATTGATTACGGAGTAAGAAGAATTTTATTTTTAATTTATATTTGTTTACCAATGGTTTTTGTTTTCTGAATACATTTAATTTTTTTATTTTTCCTCGAAGTATAAAATACTTCGAAAGGGGTTGAGAAACCCCCCAACATCAACAATATGTTACAAAAGAATATATGATATGAATTTCGTCGACAAAAGATTAAATTGACTTCTTTTCTTAAAAATTGTTCCTTTTAGATTGCGTTCAGCTTGAGTTCCATTACATTGCTTTATTTTGATGAAATTCTGTTTAATTCAGTAATTAATTTTAATATAAAATTTTGACTAAAATGGTAATGAAGAATGTATGTGGACTATCTATCATTCTCTATGCTAGGAGTGGTGCTTAAAAGTGGTGATTCCAATATTTTTATCAAAGAGGCTTGTCGATTTGGAAGAAAGCATTATTATATATATAAAAGATTGAACATTATCAGGTTAGCAACTAAGTTAGCTTAGATGGTTTCTATTAAATTTTTAAATTTGCTAACGTGGTCCAAATGTGAAGTTCTTTCTATTAATGGATAGTAGGCAGTTAAGATGTTCATGAGTAAAAAAGAGTGTTTTGATCCATTTCCTTATCGATTTCTGATCGCTTTTAGTTTTATTCTCTGCGAAGTTTTCTTTTTTTTTTTCTTATTTGGCCTTGCTTACTCTGAGCATTTAGCCACCAACAACATTTTTATTTAGTTACATTCTAATTTTTATATCATTTTCAATCTATTTATGTATCCTATTCTAAATTCTTCTTAATCTTCTTCTTATTTTCTTCAATTCTTGCTTTTTTTCAATTTTCGTATTCTATTTAACTTTCAGCTTCATTCAATTTTTTTCTTCATTCTTTTTCCAAGTTCCAATATTCCTCTTCTTACTCCTAATTCAATTCAACTCTTCGGTTTTTGATATTCCTATTTTTCTTAATTTTTTATTCAAATTCTATTTAACAAATACAATTTTCATTTGATTTCAAATTAACTACACATATTATTTTTTAACAAATTCTATGTCAATGACAGGATTTCACCCTGTCGAATGAATCGAACACGCTACCAAAGAGGTATGCTCGCCACCTCTGCGAAATTTCATGAATAGTAAACAATATACAAGTTAGCTTAGATAATTTCTATCAGATTAGTTGAGTTAGCTTAGATGGTTTTTATTGAATTTTTAGATTTGCTAACGTGGTTGAATTGTAAAGTACTTTCTATTAATGGCCAGTAGGCAGTTCATATGAATTGTAAAGCACTTTCTGTTAATGGCCAGTAGGCAGTTCATACTCGTATGTTCATCGGCAAAAAAGTGTGTTTTGATCCATTTCTTACTGATTCTGTTTATTTCTAGTTTTCTAGTTTTATTTTTTACAAAACTTCATTAATAGTAAACAATTCACTGATTAAGATGTTGTCAAATTGTCCCTGATTCATTTTTTTTTTTTTTGAATAAAAATCAGAAGCCTCATGTAAGTGAGATGATGATGTTGCTTGAAAGATGACAAAAATTATTGATCAGTATTGACAATAAATACAAAATAATGTTTTATTAGAAAAAATTTAATTAATTTTCTATCAAAAATCCACAATTATTTAGCTGTCAACGCAATACATTTTGAATAAAATAATATGGAATAGAGGTTTGTTGTAAAATGATAAAAATATAAGAACCCATAAAAATTATTATTTATTTTTTTATACGCCAATCGGCTCTATACAGTGATATACGATTATTTTTCAATGAGAAATTATATATATATATATATATATATATATAAATATATGTATATATATATAAAAATATAAGTATATATGCACAAATAATATAAAAATCTAGTGATCCATGGCATCCTGCCTTAAGGCAAATTGCTGGTACTTCCAGTTCTGTAACGTAATAAGCGAGGAATATTGAATGTTTTTAAATATATTATTACAAATACTGTAACTTTCACTATTCTTATTTTATAGACAAAATATAAGAGCTTATGAATTAGGCGGCAACGTTTATATTTGTATTACAGAAAAGTGAATAAAGAATAACTAATCAATCAGGTTTAAAATAAAGGACTTAGTCTAATATTTTTAAAAAATATATAAACAGAATTGTAGAGTTAAAATTATTTATTTAACATATATGTGTATATTTATTTAACATATAAGTGAGCTTCAGAAGTTTAGCTAGAGCAAAATTAAAATCTGAATTATTTTCTATGTACAAAAACATTTTTGAAAAAAAAATAAATTTCAAAATTTAAAAAAAAATCACAAAAGCAATTATTTCATCAACACTAGCATAAAGTTTTGTAAAGGAAGTAACTCCTGACTCGACGTTTGCCAAAAACTAATCACATTCTCCCTATTAATAAAAATTAAATGTCACTCACACAAACACATGCATTTTTTCTAAGGTGCACCAGAATGTCCAGAAACATTTAGAACTTGAAGATATGCAAAAAAAATTCAACTTAGATTTTTGGAAAATTACTCTGAATTATCCTACGGAAAGTTGATAAGTGTAAATTTTCCACCAGCTGTCGGTCTATTCGGAACATCAGTTGTGGCCCCGTTATCAAGATGCGACTGAGAGCGCGATTTCCTTATATATTACCTACTTCCTGCGATAGATATATTATCATATTTCGATGCAACGGCAATATTGTGAATTATAAGCTATTTCCTGCAGACTCTATTGCATTACAACGACGGCAGATTCGAATTACCTGCTCTGCAGAAGTTGAAATACCGTCGGCTTGCAGAAACATAAAATATTTCATGCTAATATCGAAGGAAACCAATTTGGAGAATATTAAGTTTCATCTACCTGTTCACAATGAATAGGCAAATAGCTACAAATTAGTAATTTCCAAGCTTTCAAGTCTGAATAACATTTACAATATATAAATTTGCTATAAATTAATCAGGAAAAAATTAGAGGTTTGACATTATTTATAATTCAAAAGCTCATAGCAGGTTTTTTTATCTAAGAAAATATTTGAGCATCTCATACTGACTGGTATACTTTTTTGAGAAAACCTACTTCACGTAATTTTTTACATAATATTATTATTAATTTAAAAATATTATATTACACAATATTATTATAATTATATATTCAAATACAAACTTTGGTCTAATTGACTGTAGTGAAACAGATTTATATCAAATATACAAAAAATGGAAATAGGTATTATTTATAAACTCTTTAAGTATATCAGTAGAAAATGAAATGATTTTTTCTCAAATGAGGTATGATAAAATAGAAGAGGAGTATTATACTTTGATGTTTCAGTCGACATTTGTTATTCTAATTATAATGCAAGGTGTGAATAACTTGTTAACTATAATATATTATTTTACCTTAGATATTGAATTAAAAGTATTATAAATAGTGATGGAAATCTATAAGCATGCTAGAAGATTTCATTTATAGATAAAGCAACTTACCAAATTTAAATTTAAATTATGAATCAAATTATTTCGTGATAAAACCCATCTAAATATTAAATATATATATATATATATATATATATATAGATATATGTGTATAATTTAATGTGGATGTTTATGAATTTCCTTACTCTTAGGGGCTCAAATGCTTCCAAATTGATAATAAATCTATTCTCAGAAAGTTTTAGCTTGTAATATTAATTTTAAGATAGTCCGCACTTCAAGCAAGGTTTCTATGGAAATAACATGGGTAGAGTTTTATTTGG